AAAGTTCCTGAGCAGACAAGGAAGTGTATTTATCAAAAATAATATTAACAAAATGATCTAGACATTTAGTGCACCTGGAAAAATACATGTAAATCCATGACAAAAAGTTCTCTATACATTGTACCGAGGTGAAACTAATCTTGTAGTTTTCTATGTTGTTTTGGTAGATCTTGAATTGGAGCATGAGGGAGTAGCTCCAGGATCCACCTCACAGCCAGTTAGACGAAACATTTCTTTAAAACTGAAAGCAAAGAGCAAGTCAGCAAGCTCATTATCATCTGGGAAAAGCAAGAAAAAGGAAGCAAAAAGTGGAGAAAAGTCTAGGACAGGATCTGAAGGTAAAGAAGCCAATTTTCTTTCAACGCTGTACAATGTATCTCTGGTTTTAAACCATGCTGTCATGTTGTTTCCTTAGACAAGAAACATTAGTCCACTTTGTCTCTTCACCCAGGTGCATACATGTAAATGGTACCTGAGGCATGCTGTGTGAAGTTTGTTGAGAGACACACACTCTTGAGCATCTCTGTCAATAAGAGCCTGAGACAGTGGATTTCCTTTGGCTGCTATGAGCATGACCCCTGGCTACTTTCATAAGAAAATGGAATATAGAATATAGAACCAATACAGTGCTTGAAAAATCTTGAAGTCCAGCTTGTCCTTCGGGCAAGCAGCTCTCATATTTTGCTTCGTTAGAGCCACCTCTTCCTTGTCTTAGTTAATGATTTTATTAGAGGATCAGTTGTCTTGACCCTCATTGGGCAAGTGAGCCTTAAAAGTAACTTGTCCAGCAACAAAATCCACCTGACCAGGACTACTGGATGGGACTTGTTTTGAGCCCTGCAACAGAAATTTGTTGCTGTTCATTTCCTGGCCTACGTATTGTACATTTAAACATGTACAGTATATCCAGCAACTTGAAATCTGAGCAACAGCACTGCTTGAGGAAATAAGCAACATTGACAAGTTTTTCATTTTTCTGTGAATGCTTGTTTATTCAAAGGAGACAATCAGTATTACAGTGGAACCTCGATATAATGAACCTGTGTATAACAAAGTCCTTGGTATAACAAAAGATTTTCTTTACCCCAGTCATAGAAAGATATGAGAAAGAACCTCGATATAACGAAACCGCATTGATATGGCAAACACATTTTGCCAGTCGTCTGGCCCTTCATTAAATCGAGGTTCCACTGTACAGATGTTTCTTGAACCTTCTGGAAAAACCTAATTGGAAAAACAGGTTCTTCAAGAATGGTCTTTTTGTTGTTACATCTTACCTGTTTTCACCCTTTTGTCACTAACTGATCTGTCAGAGAGTTCTCTTGTATTTTGGCTCATAAATAAATTTCAAGTTGTTTTTGAAAACTTCTGAAGCTCTGGTAAATTTATTAAGTTGAGTGTTAACAAGGGTGTCCTGTGATGAGCAAGCATCCCATCCAGAGAGGTTAGCCATACTCCTGTGGTGTAAATGCTTCATGCTACAGAAATTAGGTTAAGCTCTGGCTGTTTGGGCTTCAAGATGTAGGTCTGCCTCTACCTGCTTTTGCATTGAGTTACATTGCTCTTTTGGATGTTAATTCTTGCCTTCGGTTGTACTATAAATTAACTTTGTACTGTAAGTGACAAAATTATATCCTTTCAGTAATAGTTCTTATATGTGTTAAAAGAATTTGTTGTTCATGTGTACCAGCTGCTATACAACTATGATTTTTTGTAATGAAATAGAAAAACCGTTGTTTGTTTGTTTACACAAATCCTGATCAAATTTAATTATTTAGTTTTGCCTGGATTTGTGTAAAAGTTATTCAGGTAGAGGCCATAGAGTACAGTTAGGTCATAATGACATGCTGTGCAGTTCTCAGACCATAGGATTCAAGTAAACCCGAGTAAACTACACATGCAAACATTTCGCTAGATTGTTAAAGGTCCTCTTAGTTGTTAGAAGTCCTGGATAGTTATTTTATTCTTTGTTCGTCATATCTATTAGGTGATAAGGAGGGTAAAAGGAAACAGAAATCCCCCGGAACAGCTGCAGCAGCTCAAGTGGTTGTCATGAGAGAACTCAAGTGGGATCATCAAGTATGTACTATTAATTTTATAATTTATGCTCATTTAGCCCCAGTCACTCTGCCCCTATTTGTAAGTCGTTTGCCATAAACAGCATAATAAACGTCTCCTTCCAAATAAACGCCCCCTCAACATTGTTAAAATTTTATTAGATGCCCCTCTCTTATAAAGGCCCCTGTCTAATAAATAGACGGTTCCCCATGAGAATTACTCCAAAATACTAGGAATTAGCAAAAAGGTGCAAAATCATTCAATTCATTCAGTTTCTTGCTTGATTAGCAAGGGTAAATGCGTATTTCATCTTGCTCCATGTTAAGTTAAAAATGAGGATAGACTAACGATGGCAATGCAATAACAATGAACGTGGATTCTAACATTGATGTTGGGATTTGAAAAAGAACGATATGGATCTCTAGACGGCCTAAACCTATCAATTGATAGAGTGGATATTCCACCATTTTTAAACTCTCTTGACATTTTTGTCGAAACAGGGCTCAAAATTGCAACTGATATGGTTGCCAATGCGAGTAACATTTTCTCCTTGGCGACTAAAAATTCTAGTTTAGTCGCCAAAGTGGCGACCAGATTTCTCTATGACTTAGATTTAAATTAAATTAGTAAAGTTAAAACAAACATTTCATCTTATCCTGCTTTGCTTTCATCATAAAAAATGTGCCAAATCGCATAAACAAAGCCAGTTTACCTCCAAATTTATACCAACTTCTATCCACGATATTTTCAAATCTGATGGATTGCACCATACCATGCAGGGCTTCTGATAGGTTGCAGAAAAAAAGTCAAATTTCACAGGATTTTTCGGGCAAATTCGCAGAAAAATCGACCCATTTCGTGGGAATTTTTGGGACAAAGTTAGCCGAAAATCAATTGGTAAAAAAAGGCCGAGTTTGTGGTTATTTTCAGGGAAAACTTTGTCAGAGATTGATCAATTTTGTGCTGACCATAGACCAGCGTTTTTAATGTTTTTCTAACAGAGATCATTTTCTCTTTCAACAACTATACGTTCCAGAACTGAAACAATGGCAAAGCCTTGAACATCATGGCTACTGCCCAGTTTTTCGCAACATAATCTACGCCTAGTAATTTCGGGACGTTGTTTACACATTTTAGTGACAAAGTTTTAAGATAAATTTACAAGTTTACGACAAGTAAATAGCCCCAATAGCTGACAAAAGTTTTAAATATGTTGTACAAACATGTATTTGATAAGATTTTTACTGAATTTTGCAGTATTTTGCGTGGTTTTGTGAATTTTGCGGCTCTGCGATTGCGCGAAATATCAGAGGCCCTGACTATGAGCTGCGTCATTTACAAGATACAAACTGGCCACTAAAAATTTGCATCTGGTTACTATATCTCTCCAGTTGGTCGCCGAAAGGCAACCTGAGGATTTTTTTAATTTCGAGCCCTGGGAAAGCATGTTAGTTTTGTTGAGCTTGTTACAGTTATGAGAATAAACGCCTCTCTCTTTTAAATGCCTCCTAACTATTGAACGCCCCCACTTGGACCCCTAGAATTAACTAGATGCCTTGGACATTTATTAGTTCCTGTATGGTAGCCCCCAAAATTAAGTCATTAATTTTTTATTATTATTTTTAGGCAGGCCCATACATCTATGTGTACATGTAGCTGAGATAACTTAGGCTCTTACATTTCTGTTATCATATCATTCATTACAAAAACAAGACATTTAGGTTTCAAAATAGTTTAGCTCATCCTCCTGTCTTCCTCACAGATTTTGCCGATTGGGCAAAAAGTGCAAGATCCACTTCTCCACCTTTGTGAAAAGTGCTCTCTCCCTATCCTTGTTTATGGCCGACTGGTATGTATAACAAGTATTTACTTATGTACTCCTCTACCAGTATGCAAAGAAAGTCGTGTTCGATAGCCCGGGACTAGAGGATTTCGGTTATCGGGCTAGTGAATTCTGTTCTCAGTCTACTCTTTTGGCAAATGAATTTCTTTTAGGAAATTCGCATTACAGAAGAACTGTTATCAATCCTGCTCATTAACGACTCTTGGGTTGGTACATGCTAGTTGCAGCTTGGGAAGCTGTAAAACTGACTTTCTTTGCACCCTGTTTACTCCTCGAGCTAGTTAATGACATAATGTCATGATGTATGAATGCACTGAAGCACTTGTTTTTGAGTCTGGATGAAAGCCTTGGTGTTACCATTAAATGGTAACTTCACTTTGGTGGTTCCAACCTCTGCAAGATAATTATTGATTTTGTGGAATAATTTTTCTGGAGTTTTTAGTTTTTCATTTTTGTAACTCCAGTGTTATGCCACTGGTGTACATTGTTTCTCCCATGGTATGTCGTGATCAGTATTTTGTGTAAAGCTTGAACTGTGTCAGTAACAAAATTGTTGTAGAATTTAGTGGTATCCAGGTCATCGGTTATAGTGGATTATTGATAAAAAGAACCTCCAGTAAATGGATATTGATCATGGAAAATGTTCACATGAACATCCCCCAAAATAAAAAATATATATATTTATAGTTGACAAATCAGATCTTTTAGTTATCTTATCTTTTTAAGAATGCTTTTAATTTATGATCATCCTAGGAACATATTTTTGCTACATTTTCTTTTTATTTGGCTTTTATTTGGTTTTATTCATATTATCTATTTTTATTCGTTTTAACAATATTGTGAAACGCATAGCTCAATTTTATTTTAAAATGTTTATACAGTGCACTGTTATTAGTTCATTTTATTAATTTTTTTAAAAGTAATTGTTGTTATAAAGCGCCTTGGACAGCAATGGAAATGGTGCTTTAGAAGTAAATGTTATTATTATTATTATTATTATTATGAGAATATTAAAACGTGGGTGTTGTATTTTAAATGTTCATATAGTGATGCAGCTTTAATGCATTGATGACCCTTTTCTGAAACCTTCCATACATGTATGTTTTTTTTTTGTCATGTTCTAAAACGTGCAACAGTGGCTCTGCTTAATTCTCTCTGTGGGTTTGTTAGGGTAATTTTGTTCACATTGGATTTTGCACATTGTGTTAAGATGGGTAAAAGATACATGTGGGTAAATCATACCATTATCGGTAATTATGATTTAAAACGAGCATTTAGTCCAATTGTAAGCACAGCCCAAAAATCTTGGTGTATGGAAAAACACTTTCTACATGACTTGTACCCTTCAAAATTAATAATTTATGCCTTCCTTGTCTTTATTTCAGAGTCCATGTAAACACTCTTTCTGTTTAACATGCGCAGAAAAGGGAAATGGAAAATGCCCAAGGTAGATTTAAATTGGATTTCATCTTTTTTGTTACCTCTGTACAACTTGGTCTGCCAAAAAATAATGTTTACACTGGGCTGTACATTCAGTGCTATGTCATTAGAAATGTGGTTGCCTTTGGTTGCACGTAATTTTTACTAAAACCTGTTTAATCAAGACCAGGCACTTCGGAGTTCTTAAAAACTCGTTCGATTGGGTTTGTGATTTCCAGAACCTATTACATTTAATGCTATGCCACTAGAAGTGTGATTGACTTTGGTTGTTCATGTAATTTTGACTTTAACTTGCTTAATCACAAGGCACTTCGGAGTTCTAAACTCGCTCCAAAGGGTTTGCGAGTCCTAGAACCAAGTATTACATTCAATGCTATGCCATTAGAAGTGTGGTTGACTTTGGTAGCTCATGTTATTTGCAAGGCACTTCNAGTGTGGTTGACTTTGGTTGCCCATGTTATTTTGACCTTAACTTGCTTAATCACAAGGCACTTCCGAGTCCTTAAAAACTCGTTTCAAAGGATTAGTGAGTTCTAGAATCAATAATAACTGGAATTTGGAAGTGCGAGGTCGTTAGCAGGACTTGAATTTGGGCTACATGGCCAAAAAAAAATTCTCAAAATTCAAGTGATCAAAAAGAGACAAAATTCAAAGTTTTGATTAACGTACTGACGATCCATGCAGCTAAGTTGCTGAAAGTTGCTATTCATGTGTCCAGAGTTGTGTTATTAAGATCCAGGTTATAAGTAGTCTCCCACCTCCTCGTTTTTATCTCGTCACACAACGCTCCTCCCTCCTCCCCTTTCCCCTCCCTTTCATGGGGAGTGGTGTTGCGTGACGTGACAAAAACGGCTGCTTGAGAGACTAACTTACAAGGTATAACGGGATAAATAACCAAAACGGGAGTATTTCCAAAAATTGCCCTTCATGGGGGTCTCTGAATTCATTTAAATTTTACTTTAGGTGTGGGGAAAGTGTTCAGAGGATTGAGCGAGCACCGCTGGGCAGTGTGTATGTATGTTCAGTCGGCGGAAGCCGCTATGGAATCTCGGGATGTCGTCGGAGTTATTTCTCCCAGAGAGATTTGCAGTCGCACATTAAGAGACGTCATCAGAGAGAGCAGGGAGGAGGGGAGAGTGATGGAGGAGAGGAAGCTGAGAATGAGATACAGCGCGCTATGTTTCCTCAGGCAGCCCCCTTTTTCCCAGCCCCTCTACACGAGACCATTCCCGCGGTGCCCCCTCGCCCCATGTTGCCAGGGGAAAGACCCTTTGGCAATGTAGGAACTGTACCAGTCATGGATGGGCGCCATTTCCCTGCGGTACCCACTATACCTCGGGAAACGTTCTTTATGGAAGGACCGCGTCAGCAACATCCTGTGGTCAGTGGTTTTCCCGTACAAGGTCCTGCACCAGCCCCTATGCAACACGTCCCTCAAGGCGGCTTCCCTCGGCCCGAGCAAGGGCCTTCTCCAAGATTTGAAGAGATGCGAGTGTCTAGGCCAATGGCCCCATCTCCTATTGAGGAAGGCTTTGGACCAAGGCCAGTGGGGCCTGGTTTTCCAGGAAGGTTCCCGGGACCTCCACGGTCCGATGCGGACTGGATTCCAGCAGAACGGGGACCTCCTCTAAGAGGAGAAAGAGACTGGATTCCACCTCCAGGGCGTGGCGATAGGGACTGGATACCTCCTCGGAGTGTGGCAAACATGGTTCCCCCTGGGGCTCCTCCCCCAGGAAGACCCCCACCCGGAGACCCTCATTTTCGTCCAATGTTTTGAATTTCTTTTGTTTTCTTTTTACATTTACCTGTAGTTGATAATGTGGCTTACGATAGTCTCTATGAAGATTAAACACGCACTAAGAGCCCGCTTTCTTTTGGTAAACTTTTCTCGTTTTCTAAAGTCACGTTTTGTGGTAACAAGAGCACTTAAAGGTATTTTAAACTGAAAACTTAAAGCCGTGTGCTGAATAGCCTGCGAGCAAGCTCTCCTGTTTGGGCGAGTGAAGCGAGTCCCGCGAAAACGCGCGAGCCAGCGTCGAAGCTGCGAGGTGGCGGGGGCGAGGCTCACTTCGCTTGCCCAAATAAGAGAGCATGCTCGCAGGCTATGTGCTGAACCAATCAAACAGGAAGGAAGTCAAAGAAATCAGCGCGGAGCGTTGGAAGAAGCCTGCTGCTAGTCTCGAATCTCTTTCTTTTTTTCTTTCAAGTTTCATTTAATTGTTAACTTTTTTTTCATTTTTTCACCTTGGCTGAAAGAATTCTACGATTTTTATCCTTTTTAGCGCAGCACAGATAGAAACAAAAATCTCTTGCAACACCTGAATCTCTTTAAAGGTCAAGAGTGTCGTAAGCCACTTCAAAGACGTCATTTTATGGCAACGCGCATGACATGACATGCATTTGCAATCACCTTTAACGCTGCTTTGGCACAGTCTTAAGTCATTCCATAAAAAGGGCGTGTTTGATATCAGTATAAATGAGCGACTGTCTTAAGGAATGACTTTATTTCATGCGCAAAATAAAAAATATTATAAAGAAGTTCATGACATTGTGTTCCTTGTACGTAGTTTTCCTAGCAGTGTACAGTATTGGTCACAACTAAATCATATCAGGCCTTCGAAATATACTGAAGGCAGATGTACAAACAAAAATGTGACGCGCACTATTTTATTTACTTTAATTGACTTGATTTTCTGTTACTTTCCTAATTTAGTTCAATATCTCAGCTAATTTTGTTCGCTGAATACTTCAATATCTCGTGCTTTCTGAAGTTCATCATCCATGTTACTTAAGCTGTTAAACATGGCGTGCAGATAACCCTGACTGGTCTTAAGCCGTTCTACGAGCTCTTTAAACTCCTTTTCCTTAATGTCAGCTCGCTTATCTGCTTCTTTGTAATCTAACCACAGTCCGTTGTTCTCCTGTTCGAGAGCAACCATCTTATTTTTCATCACGCGCTGCTCTTCGCTGTACGAGGTCTGCAACTGTCTCAACTCCTTAGATTTCTCCACCAGTTCTATCTCTTTCTTTTTCAGAACTCCAACGACTCTTCGTAGCTCCGAGTTAATCTCGTCTTTCTCCGATGTTAGGCCGTCGATTCTGCTTCGGAGAGTTTGTTCGTGCTCCGACGCCGTCTTCGCTGCTCTCTTGAGGTCTTCGCATTTGGTCTCGTATTGAGACTCCTTCCGACTAAGCTCTCCGCTAAGTATATCCATTTGAGACTCGACACATTTTTTCACTCTCTCGGTTTCTGTCAGAGATCCAACGAGGTGTTTCATGCATTTTTGGACGTCAGAAATTTTTCGCTTAACTATATCCAACTCCCCAATGGCAAATTTTCCATCAACGACATCCTTGAAATTCTCCGTACCAGGCTTTTGCCTTTTATCGTCTGTAAACTGCTTTACACGCTGATGGTTAATCGTGTTTTCCAGGCGCTTAAAATACTGTTCCATTTTACATTCCAGTTCTTCTCGGTTTTGGCTCATTAAATTCTTAATGACGTCAACTAAATCGCAGCCTATCGGGGTACTAACGCTCAGGGGCTCAATGAGCTCGTGTGTTCTTAGGCCCTCCTCTGCTATCTTCTCTGTATCTCCATGTGCTAAAGCCTTTTCGATAGCTTCCCTGGACCTCTTCCTGACCTTTTTAAGAGCCAAATGCGCCCTTTTAACCTCGCGTAGCTCCTCTGCTTTCTTGGCAGCCAGGTTCTTATCTTTGTCCAGCTGATCCAGAATGTCTTCCACGTTGTCTTTGAACGCTTTGAAAGCTATTTCCCTATCATAATTGTCCCATGACATCTCCGCTTGGATATCCGCTTCGATGGGAGAATCCCCGCCATCTCCAGTTTCTTTCTCCTCGTTCAACGGCATCGCAAATTCCTCTACGACTGACTCCAACAGTGATTTTAGCAGCGTCATTCGCTTGGCGACGGCTTCGAATGGTTGAGCGTGGCTGATGATTTCTTTGGCGCCGTCTGTGCAATCCTAAAGATTACAGTGAAAATCAGCGTACAAAAAGCCACATATTGAGAACGCCTAGGCTGAAACGTGAACATTTTAACCCTCACTCGAGATTGTATACGAAACTCATTTTTGAATCTTAAGCCTAGAGGGTACTCCCTATAATGGCCTTTACGGGAAGGCTGCGGCCTAACGGGTTCCCCTGTCCTCAGGTATATCAAAGTGTTGGGAATTCACGAGTTGAGGTATATGAAAAGGTATAAACATCTAATGTAGCATTTAAGTATTTATTTATTTTTTCGAAAAGATTCGCCTTATGGCTGTTGTAATTTCATTCATTAAAGGTTGCAGGAAAATGACGAAACCTACATATTGAGAACCTTGAATCCTCTTAGAAGGTATTATCGTGTATGTCTCTTAGTTTTCAGTGTTTTACAAAATTAGTTTCTTGAGTTTTGGCTGCAGCCACTTTTGGAAAAGAAATGGTCTAGTAGCCACCATGATGATAGGAAAAGAAAACAGAAAAGGCTTATGGCCCGACTTCTTTCCTTCTAACTTCCTTTTCGTTACAAGACGAATCCACATACAAATTGTCCACACCGAACTCCATGCATTTCCTTGGAGAATTAGTTGAGGGAATTTGATTAAAGATCAATTGATGTCGGGCATGCACTCTTAGGACTTACCTGGAAATACCGCTGTAACTGGAGGAGGTCATGCAGACAATTTTGCGCGTAGTCTTTCAGATCTTCATGTTCTATGAAGAACTTTCTGACCATAGTAAAGAAGTTCTCTGTCTCCCTTAGCTTTCCTCTCATGGGTTCTCCTCTGTCCTGTTTGTTAGCACGCTGTTCTTTTTCTAGTTTCTGTACAATCTCTTGCACGCGGCTGGTAAACTCCTCACTGCTTCGCCTCTGATTGGCGACTTTCTGCTCCAGAGCCTCTTTCTTGGATTTCAGATCCCGTATGCAAGCCTCAAGTTCCCGGATTTTTAGAACATAGCACTCTTGATGTTCTCGCAGGTTTACCTTCAATTTCTCACAGTTAGTGCATGTCTTGACTTTCTGTCAAAAATGCAGAAATAAAACGTGTTGACGTTAATGCAAATTCATTTGCCCTTAGATGGTCTTCGATCAACACACCGGAGGGTCCCCAATAGGTTATTCGGGATTCGGGATCCGGGATTTCCCTAATTTGAAGCTCGGGATTCGGAATTTTAAAACAAAATCGGGTAAGATTCGGGATTGAAATTATGCGTGCGAGTTAAAATGCGCGAAAAAACCCTCGGGATTACGGGATTGCACTAAGTTTTTGGTCGGGTCACGGGATTGAAGAACCCTGTTGAGGACCCTCATACAGTAGGTTGAGTCCACCGTCTTGGAGAGCAAGTCGCTCCCGCGGCGGGAGCTTCGTCAAGCTTATACTCCTTATATTCCATAGTGCTGGCAATGTTACTTTTCTTTATATTTATGCTAGCCCACTTTGCCCCCATATCATCAGCAGAATTCAAAAAACGTTTACTTTCGAGCGAGACATTATGAGTCAATTATCGTGACGACAAAAGAACAACAACATATGTATTAATTTTGGAACTGGCACATCAGTAAAATCCAACTAGTGGTCTATTATCAATGCTGCGTTCTGATTGGTTGAGCTACTACTAGGCTTTATGTTATAGCCCACTAGCAACGAAAAGCGCCGGCTTTGAAAACCAAAACAATGGCGGCTGAACCGCGTTTTGCTAGCTAAAGTTGTTTTGTCTCGATATTTTTGACCAACCAGTGAAATTTTACTAAAACAATTGTTCCACTCGCCCTCGTGGCCTCTGAGTCAATAGCCCATTCATTCATTAATGGGCTATTGACTCAGAGCCTATTCGGGCTCGAGGGATAATTGTTAAATACCCGGTTTAACTGCGAAGTATTCGTGATACGGGGATTTCAGTTTCTTACGAAATCAACACTGGAATCCCAAAAAAGGTAGGCTTGTGGTGCCAAAGAGGTCGGTTTGCATTTGAAAAACAGAGAAAAGGAACAACAAACGAAACGATCACGTGACCGTTAAGCTACTTCACAACATTTAGGTCAGGAAGACGTAATAAAAAAATACTTTAATTACCTCGTTTGCTGAGTACTTACTTTAGTATAAAAACAACAACAACGAAGGTAAAAAACAAATCAAAACTGACCGTTTCTCTTGGCTTCAGATTACCACGGTCCCCTGTATTTATCAGCTCAACTCCGGATTCTTCGCTAGTGTCGGTATCTCCGAGTGCTTGGCCAATGCTTTCCAAGTTGTTTTTTATTGCTTTCCGGCTTTCATCTAATGCTTGTGATACCAATCGATACGATTGCTCCTTATCCGTGAACCTCCGCTCCACTCGCTCCAGCTCCTCTCGCACACGACTGTTCTCTAAACTTAAGACCTCAGCCTTCTCCCCCTGAGTTCTGAGTTGTCTTCTCTTCTCTTTATTATCATCTTCCAGTTCCTTTATCTTCAGGTCCTTCTCCCTCAACACTGTGGTCATAGCAAGATATGATTCCATTGCAGCGTTGTTCTGTCGCTTTAGAGAATCCATTTCCTGCGTAAGCTGAACGTTTTCTTCCTCCAGGGTTTCAATTCGATCTTTCTTCGCCTTGATCTGGTTTTTCTTTTGTGTTAGGTCCGTCTCCAACGTTCTGATCTTGTTCTTAGAGTCTTCAAGCGCGTTATTCAGACATTCAAGCTTTCCATTTGTTCTGTCCGCGCTGCGTTTGTCATTCAGGGTTTCATCGTCCAATTGTCGATTCTTGGCTTCCAACATTTTCTCTTTTTGTTGTACCCTATCGAGTTCTTCCTCGGCGTTACGCAGCTTTCTTTCTAGCTTTGCAATCTCTCTCTGCTTTGCCTTCAACTCAGTTGAAATGCTTTCGTTTTCGGCGTAAGCACCAGACAGTTTCTCTATGACTCGTTCCAGTTCCTTTTCTTTTTCTCGAAGCATGCCCTTTAACTGCTCTACTTGTGTCTTCAGTTCTTCATTGTCGCTGATCAAAGCGTTGTTCTCCCTTTTCAAGATCTCCAGAAACGCCGCGCCCACTGCTGCTACAGTGGTCGGGTCAGCAGCCTCTGTCACTGGCGCAGCCTCTGTCGCTGGCACAGCCTGGTTTTCAAAAGATTGGTTGGAATGCTCTGTTAGCAGTTCGTCCCGCTGTTTTAGCTGGTCTCTCAAAGAAACACTCTCCTTGCATAGGATGTCAACCTTCTCTTTGGC